TTAGAGGGGGCAGATTCGTGCCCCATGTGTGAAACCCATCCCACTGAGGTCACTCAGAGGCCAAATTTTGAAGGACGTTGGCAGGCTGCTCAATATCACTCTTTGCACAAACTGCCACCCGATTTGCGAGAGACTTTTGTCGGCATGTCCCACACGCACCCTGTCCCACTCCGTAGATCTTCATCGCCTTCAAGTATCCATCATCGGGCTTCTGGGTTGGCGGCCTGGCAATTGATACTAGTTTAGTTGGTGGTGAAATTGGTCGTTAATTAGGACGAAGCAAAAGAGCTTTGCGAAGGGATTTGCCTTAGATCCAGTCGTAAAAAGGAAGCGCAAGGTAACCGACATCGGGCTATTCTTCTGTAAAGCGAGGGACTTGATGATCGAAGGGAGTACTGAAACCTCCTTTGGTGGCTACGTTGGTGTGGGGTATGGTGTCGGAATCGACTCTATGGATCCTATCGACATTTTGCCTGATAGAAGAAAGAACGCAGGCAATTAAACCTTAAAACGATCGAAATGGGTGTACCAGCTAAATATACAGGCCATATTTGTGTGATTTGAATTATTTGAATTTAGGGTAGTGAATGTCCATTAAGATGCGCTAGACAAGTAGCAGCACGGATCGGGCATATCTCTCCGGGCCTTCACCGGGTCGGAGAATCTTACCAACTCCACCTCCATTCCAACGACCAGGGGCCACGGCAGAAAGCTCTCTACGACAAACCTCTCTAATCGCGCGCACCCTCGCCATCGATGGAGGGACATACTCCTCCGACCTTCACGCCTCAAAGAGAAACACCCGACGGCGTATGGACTCACGGTCCCGTTCAACTCGCCCGCGGTAGGCAAGCCAAGGACCCGCACGCTCAAACCACAACTTTTAATGTTTCATCCCTCGACGAATTCGAGGCCTCCATACGACAGTACCTATCTCAGCCATGTGAACAGCCTGAGCATGCAGAATGTCAGGTACGCTTTTGGATAGGAGCGAGCTTCATGGTCTTGCTGTCACCAAGCCTGCCTTCACAGCAACCTTCACAGCAGTCTTCACAGCAGTCTTCACAGCAGCCTCCTACACCACAACTGCAGGCACCCCAAGGCTACCAGTCCGCCACACGTATTGATGACCACTATGCAGCTGCATCGAACGCGTCAGGCCATATGCAGCATGCGCACAAGATTGCGAATTCCGCGATGACGCTCGCATTGCCTACTCTGCCCGGTCAGAAAACGAGTATGAGCATCCTCGAAGCTTTGTCTCCGACGAACGATCCGAAGGAGAAGATGAAGAAGCAGCGTGCCATTGCGAAGACATGCGTTGATTCTATACAGAAGGTCGATGGATATCGATACAGCTTTCACAATTGCTGGAATAGCAGAGAGGATGATAGCTTTAGGTTCTCATACTACTGTAATGATTCTTTGCTGAATAAAGATCGTGCCGCGAATGGAAAAGGTGCGAAATATGGTGAGTAGTCCAGCTCCTGTCCAATCGATACATCTAGGTGCTGCTTACTAACCTGCAATAGGCAAGAGAGCCACAAAGCCAGTGTACGATTGCAGAGGCGTCCTCTCCGTCAAGTTCTCAGCTGTCAAACAGACACTCGACGTGTTCTACAAGCACATACCCATCCATAAGACGTACGAAGAGAGAGCGCCTCCGCCACGCAAGGACTCCAAGCGTAGACGTTTTATGGAAGTACACAATCCTGAAGCGTATGTAGAGTATACACCCCCTATCTTTTGTTGCAGAATTCCGTGAATAGCTTTCACCATCCAGCGGGCAATCCTTTTCGATTTCTCATGCAATCACATTCCTGTTCATACACTAACACAACCTAGACTAGCCAGAATTATCCACAAAACGCGCAAGGAGAAGCCTCCTCCTGATTCTGATGCTCCGCCAAAGCCAAAGAGGCAGCGACAAAAGGACAAGGAAGCGCAGAAACAGACTGCATCAAATTCAATCGAGAGTGATCTGAGGGCACAGAGTTTACGGTCTCTGTTGGAGCTGATTCAGACGGACACCGTGCCAGACGTTATTCCAGAGGAGCCACAGAACGAAGAGCAGTATCCACAACAGTCGAGGCGGAGACCGAGAGTTAGCTGCGATACATGCAAGGTTAAGAAGACGAAGGTATGCTTCTCGGATGCTCCACATTATGCCTGTGATACCAGGCTAACATGTCTAGTGTGATGGTTTACGACCGACGTGCAAAACCTGTAGTGAGAAATCACGACAGTGTATCTACTCAGAACACGGCCCTGAAGAGATACGCCAAGTAATACCAGATACTTCCCAGCCAGCTCCTCGCCGCGAAAGCGTCCACGTTCCAAGAGAGGAGAATGTTGTAATGACAGAACTAGAAAAGCTTAGGGCGGAGCTTGCGGAAGCCAAATCGCGTATTGGACAGCTCGAGGCTGAGAAAACTCGCAGTGGGAGCGAAACTAACACACCCACGCGTGCCACGCAGAATGAGCAAACTGCTCAATCCCAACCTTCGCAGCAGCAGATGCCACTACAGCAATACCAAACGCCACACGGATATTCGCCAACCCACACGTCGTATACGCCAGTGAATCGATCAGTACACGCTCAGAGTGCGCCGCATCCGACACATACCCCGGCTAATCACCAGCTACATACCCCGGCGTCTGGTAAGTCATTCTTGCATCTCCATTTACCTCAGCTGTCGGCCATGCCGCGGAGGACCTAGAGTTCAAGAACAGGAGGTTGCTAACTTTTGCAGCTATCGCAGCAGGCACAGACTCCAACGATCCCTACGGCCGCGACCTACGCTGGGCGCCCTTCTATCCCTTCCAGGGCGCCATGCCTAGACCGCCGCAACCGCAGCAACAAGATCCTTGGAATGGTGGTCAAGCTTCGGGAGCATATCGTTGAACAACACTTGGAATTGCTCAATGAGGTCTTTGTCCTGATTGCGGGTCTGCTGATTCTCTGTCACTGATTTTCATTTCCCCTTTTGCTTATCGAAATATTTGTCCTGATCGATGGTCTTTGATTTTCTGTTATTGATGTCATTTCTTTGTAAGATTCCTGAGACGGCCGTAATTTTTCCAATACCAGATTTACGATTCCGAGTGTATGAAGAAGTATAGTATCGGCAAGTGCTCTGAAATTTCTAGTTTACGGGGAGTGCATGGCTTATTGAGGTACGATGAGGTTTAGTATCAGCAGGCACTTTTGAGTTTTCTAATTTGTTGGAGGTGGGACTTTTGATGTTACGAATGGCAGGTTAACGGCATCCATGGGATGGATGTCATAGCGGCTTCCTTGCCTGTGCAACAGGGGATATGAGAGTGTAATTATCAGCCATTATGGTGATAGGTGTTCAGAAGGAATTTGATACCCATGATTCATTTATGGACTTAGCCCTGCGATTTCATGAACAAGGCTATAACAGCTAGACAACGATCTTGAACCTTTAGCAATACTTTATTTGCTGTTTCTCCTTCGCCAGCAATGCATAGAAAAGAAGGCATTCGAAGTTTCTGATTCTGGTGTCCGGCGTCTGGTCTGGATACTTCTTTGGACGAGGTCGCCCGACGATCTTGAGTCATTCAATACTGTAGGATGCATGCTTGACTAAGGAATTGACTGAGATCAGCACTGACGCCGCATATCAGGGGTACACATTCTTTGTTATTGCAACATTTGTTATTACAGTCCCCCTACTCTACAAAACCAAACTTAACCCTTCTGGCGCTTTTTGAAATCCTGAAGAGTTGCTGACGGCTAGGAAGTGGGCAATGGGTCGTGTTTTTTTTATCGCCCATATTGTGAATGTAGACTCCAGATGCCCCCGCACAAGAAGCTTGATCAGCGTAGGGACGATGACCCAGTGTCCAGTATAATGAGTCGAAGATCGAGTCAGGGGTATGGGATCTATAGACCAATATGTTGCATTTCCTCCAGTCGAAGTTCAGAAACAATACTGATAGGGCGAACGCGTGCGAGCAACATCTAATTTTTCTTTTCCTTGATTGAGATGGTTTAGGGCGGTGAGTTGAATTTTGCAATATTGGAAGAGGCTCTCTTAGTAATGATCTGCACTCTCGTCAGCTGCAAGCATTAGGGCTTATATCAGCAAAATCTTACTCGGCTTAATCTCGGCTCAATTATGCTCAGGCTGACTTAAGCTTGCTCAGGCTTGCTCAGGCTTGCTAAGGCTTGCACATGGTTAAAATCCTAGTGCCTCGGGTCCCATTTTCAGACTTCTGAGAAGAGGCTGATTTTGGGCGCCTTATCAGATTATATCTAACTTGCAAGCCTTAATACTCGTACCCCTTTCACAGGTTAGCGCTAAAGTATGTGGGCAGGTAAAAGTCCATGCGCGGACGTGAGGTAAATACTTTATGTTGAATATAAGACAATCAGAGCAGAAGGTACATGGCTGCCGGAAGGGCGGCTAGGGCAGTCTATGAATTAAGCAATCAATCAAATGGCCGTAGGAGTTCTCCTATGGGAAAAGCAAGCTCCGAGAAGAGAAGGGCTCCGAGGAGGACTACTCCAAGAAGAGAATGTCGCCGAGGAGCGAGGAGCTCCTATGAGAGGAAAGCTCCGCGTAGGAAAGCTTCGCGGAGGAGAGCTCCAGGGAGAGAAGAGCTCTGAGGAGAAAAGCTCCCAGAAGAGGGAAGCTCCCAAACAAGAAGCTATGGAGATAGTAGTTACGTAACTACTAATTTACTAGAAGAAAAATAGTAAATTCAGATCTGAGATAAAGTCACGTGACTTCTAATTTACTAGAGAAAAACTAGTAAATTATAACATCTTATAGATTATAGAAGATACTAATATATTATATCGTAATAATCTTCTTAGACTAATATTTATTCTAATTTAGTTTAAATAGTAATTATTAATTCTATGCACGTAGAGTTATTATTCACACACTACAGAGCACGTGAATTACATGAATTCTGTTAAATAATGTATATAGTCAACATAAAACATGTCAGCAGATATCAAAACAAGTGGTCGCATGGTGTAGTTGGTTATCACGTCAGTCTAACAGTTGTTGAGCACTGAAGGTGAGTTGTCAAACCTATCAATATCTGAAACAATACTAATAGCGAACAGGTCCCAGGTTCGAGCCCTGGTGCGATCAAAACTTTTTTTTTCTTTCAGTAAAATGTAGAACTGTCAACTGATTTTATACGATATTCTATAAAGCCTCCTTATAGAGATTGCAGTAACAGTGTCGTTTGAAAATAGTTTCATTTATTGTATCCGTTTACTTTCTTGATCCTACCGTTCTGATCATTGTGCTTGAGACTCCACCATCTTCGAGTACGTTTGCTTACTTCGAGCATCGTTGCGCCCTCAAGCATGTCCATAAAACTATTCATTTTAAAAACTGAATTATCTCCTCTTGATCGAAGCCAACCAGCAAACGGTGCCCCATTTGCAAATGTACCTTCAACAAATAGGGCAAGACGAGAAGCGGGATCCTGTTTCGTAGCTTCAAGGCAGTATGCATTGGGGATCCTACCGTTGGCTTTGAACTCTCCCTCAGTGATTAGCTCGGGTCGAACTTGAACAGGTGCCTTTTCCTCCAGGTGACCCCAGGTGGTAGGTATAATGAATCTGAAATAAGAGAGGCAAAACGATTGGATGAAGCTGTTCCAGCGTTTATCTGGTGTGATCCTGACTTCTACTTCGAGGCCATAGCACAACTCATTGACTTTAGGAGTGTATCTTTTGACTCTAGAAACAACTCTTTGCCGCATGACACTTTCGTAGTATGCCCGAACGCTTAGGTTTGGAGAAAACTTTAATTCGTAAAACCGTCGTCTCAGACTAGCATAGTATCGTGGGGCTAGAGGATCGAGCGAATGAAAGATGGATGGATCTTGAGGCTGAACCTGGATTTTGTTGGGCCGTTGGTGAAGAGGCAACGCCACGTTGAGATGTTTCCTGCGTATGGCGCAACTCCATTTTCCGGCAGGTACTTCAGGAGGGCGTTTTTTGTAAGTGTCTGCAACATGAGAGAACACCACATCTCAAGAAGATTGAGCAGGTTTGGGTCGTCACTATCGACTTCAGCTAAGAAAACGAAGACTTCATCCACTTTGAAGTTTTCATGGTCAATCCCTCGGTCCTATACAAAGTAGTGCAAGCTCGGGTTCTGCGATCTATAATTAGGGTCTCGATGGCGGAGCAGTCGAACTGGGACCTCAATGCTTTGTCCAACATAGAGAAAGAAGATTGTTGGGTCCACCTTGTGCCATAGAATGTGTAACTATACGCCTTTCTTTGGTACTCTCCCTGGATTTTTGGCTCCGATTGAGAGCAGACTGAAGAGCAATTAGTAAATTATTTCTAATAAATAACTAAGCAACCATTTTGACTTACTTGGCTAGCGAATAATCCCCACATTCAAGGACTTGGCGTGCCTCTGGAAGTAGAAATTCCATAAAGTCAACTTGTGATTCCTTATAACATCTTAGATCAGATCTATAGACTTCAGAATGATAGTCTTCAACGCATCCCAACATATGTTGGAGAACTTCCTTTGGTTTAAGATGTACGAATGGCTCCTCAGATTCAGCATCGCCTGACTTATGGACCATATCTTGGTGTCTCAACTGCTGGGAATGGTATGCGTACTTCACTCGCTTTGAAGGAACTGATGTTCTTTCGAGGAGTCTTTGACCAAGGGATGAGAAGTACTCTGATGGCCGACCTTCTTGATACCGGATCCAGAAGTAGGAGGTTTCCGCTTCATTCTCTTCCTTTGTCTCTTCCCCGCGGTCTTCCCCTCCATCATCTTCCAACTTATTAGATTTTGAATCCCCATCTTGCGTATTGTATTTCGCCGCTTTATTATTGAGGGGTGACTCGAGATTTTGTGCACTTGTGAGATAGCCGAACGATGAAGTGCCTGGACCAACCCACACCATCGGGCTCTTGCCTGGCTCTCCGATATAGTGAAAGCCAGGCGTTGTTGCACAAAGGCGATACCTCCTCCGTCATTTTGGACAATCGCTGTTGCTGTCTGAGCTTGCTGAAACATAACTTATGCCATCTTCAAGTCGCTGTCCAGAAAATTCCAGACATCTTGTTAGATCTCAACCAATAATTTTTTACGCCACCTGACGTCGAGCACCCCGATCTTCTCGCATCTGAAGCAAGCGTCTGAGGGCTGGCTTGAGTCGCGTAGAAAGGTTCTGAGCAAGACAGAACGTCGAAAACATGAAATAAACAAAGGTGTTTGAACAGTGAAAGAATTTTTGATTAACCTTTGAGCCCCGGTACTGTAGAGTTCTTTGTTCCTTCACCATGATTTTCCATTGCAAAAGCCGCAGAAGCAAGAGTCCTAGGGGCGATATCAAACTTTGTGAAGTGGATGAGTTGAAGCCTGGGATTGGTAAAGGTGTAGTGAAGCGATGGTTAATCGGGTAACTGCGTGAACAATGGTTCAGCTGAGCGACTTGTTCAACAACCTACCGCGTAGTCCAACGTGGATTCCTTGCTGAATTGCCGTTTGGCTGTCGCTGGTTGTTACGATTGTTACTTTTTCCCCCGTCGAGTTTATTGCTCCGTCGTTCGTATCGGATCTGGGTATCACGCGCTTCAGGGTACAAGGCTATGAACATCTCATTGAGTCTTCGTCAGAATCTCTACAAACAGTACAACGCCACCTCCTACCACCATCCCTGCGGACTGATTGTGGCCCAATTTCAGGCTCTCTTCATGTTGCGCAGGGATGCAATCAGGCACAAGCATGAGGAGCCCAAGCTTTAATCAGGCATACTCACGTGAGCTTATATTGGTTTAGGACGAGCTCAGGTATACCTTGGCACTACTCCAGCTGTTCTCTTATAGCTTATATTACACCTGTGTGTAACTCAAGGTTAGATCTGGAGGAACCTTAAGAAGAGATTAGATCTCACTCAATTCTCTACCGCTATTTTATCAAGCAAAGACTCAACCGTAAACTTATTACTAGATCTAAACGACAAATAGAGCACCCTTTGATTTAGCGGAGGCTGAATCAGAGTTGGTTAGTTGGTTTATGACTGAACATGCAGCAGTCATAGTTCAATAGTTGTTTTAATAAAGATGATAGCGAAAATGCTTTAGACCTATCTACTAACTTAAATACACCGACTTATTATATGGCAGATAAATGGCTAGCTTGGCTGGCGGTTCAGCCATACGTAAAGCCATTCAAGATATCAAAGCTGAACGATTTAACCCCTGAAACACGGATAAGTACGGGGATATGCCTAGCTGTCAGAGCTGTCAGATTTGCAGTATTAAACTTCTGTACCATCACTACATCACATTCAACAACCACATCCATACCTTTAATTCGTCCTCAAATCCAGAACACAATCATCCCTATCTGCTCTCACCAGCGTTGTGTTCGCCCAAGTTCCAGCGTCTGGTGCTTGCAAAGGGCGAGATCCATTCTCACAATGGCACGGGTCTTCCAAAGCCCTAACCATATTCAGACCCCAGTCCAGTGCCTTTGCAAACTGCTACACGACCGCCATAGTCACCGGCCTCGCGTTCTGCTCGACCCAGAGCGGCGCCATCCATATGACGGCTGATCTGACCGGAAACCAATGCTACTGCAGCGTTGCCCGGTCTGCGTCCAGGTATATCTTTTCCCTCAGCAACACGCCATCCTTCCAGGGCTGTCGAGTATGAACAACTCAGCTCTTACGAATGGCTGTCGCACGACGCTGATACCGGTGTTTGGCATCTTCGTTTGTCTCGTCGAAGCACCCCGCAAGCTGCATCCTCAAGCGAATGCGAACGAACACATACCGAGCCTATCATGCCTCTCTTCTAAAACTAGGCTCATCGAGGCATTCCCATGGCCGTTACTGCAGCAAACTAGGCAGCAGTAGAGCGTTGAGCTGATCCGATAACGTTCCGCTCGAAGCGGTGTCGAATGCAGCCCTCCCGGCACTAATAGTGTCAGTATACAGCTGCTAAAGTCGCCGATGGATGCAGCCATAGGGCTATCTGGTGCGCGGTTGCAAACAGTTCGTGTTAAGATGCTTGACGTACTGCTATACTGAATAGCTAACATCCTGGAACACTCCAAGATCGGTGACGTAATATTCCATGGTTCGATACAGAGTTGCTGGCCTCAGTCATGCTCTCTACACTTACCTACCTGTCGGAGTCTGCTGTTTCTTCCCATTTTTTTCCGCAGCTTTATTCCTTGCTGCACTGTTCCAAGGGAAACCAATCGCCTATTTCAAACCTCACATGGCATCCCATGCAATCAGAGCAGAGCACGGATGCGAACGAGTTAGGTGCAGAGCTATAGGCTTTCTTATCAAATTGGCATTCAATGTCCAAAAGGCAACGTGGTACTGTATATAATCTATTGAAGTCTGATAGTTTACCAACGTAAGAACAGAGGTCGAATGGATACGATTGTATGAGCAACATCAGAATATATCGAAGGACTAGTGGTTCGTTGAAATCCAAATTGATATTCAGAGGTTGTATACAGCAGATTGACGACGTGATAGAACCAATCCGAATTTCATTTTTAGCGTTGCTGATCACGTTTCCAGACAGGGGGGTTTGGTCCCGAGCTTTCGCCTCATGTTTGCTGCTTCGCCCAATTAATAATTCAATTGTGGCCTGCGGAGGGCTATTCTCTTCAGCCCAGCAAGCGGAATTCTTGGATTTTTTGAGGTTGAGTCGGCTCATGCAGAAATCGCTAGAAAACGGCGTGAAGAACGATTGGGAAAAGTAACGCGCTATGTTGGGTCCTGCGTCCTGATCACAACAAGTATTTAAATTTTAAACTTTAAATTTTTGATACAATGTAATGAATATTAACACCAATACAGACATAGCTCATGGGGTTCACAAACGAAGATGCGAACTTCAAAAGCGTTTATTCCAACAGCACTAAGGACAAGATGGCGAAATGAATCAGTTCAACATGATGAGCTGACCGCCCAATAGGTCGTTGTGGTTGGATAAGTACCCACTCTCATTATCGATCCGTTACCGAACTCCAGCTAATTTATTTCCCCCTCCAATCGTTTGATCTTAGCACTTAATTCCCTAACTGACCGATGTAGCTCAATACGCTTCAACCTCTTCGCCTCCAGGGCGCTCTGAGTTCCC